GAAACTCCATTTTTATAAAATTATAAAATTCTTTCAAGAAGGTACACTTAGAAAAAACGTCTTGGGCCCTCCCTGGTGGTGCAGAGGGTTAAAGTGCAACACTGCCAAGCTGGCTTTGTCTGCTTCAGTGGGAGCTCGATCCCTGCCCTGGAGGTGATCCACATGGCACAGCAGACCTCTCCTGTCTCGCCCGCTGCTCCCCTTAGCAGTGTATTGCGTCAATCTGCCTGTTCTGCTCCCTGCTCTGACTTTCGTGAATCCTCTCACTGCCCCTGCACCTCTGGCTTGTACCCCAGTTCTTTATGCATCAATAAATCTTTAAAGCAAAAAAATTTAGAAAAAGAAAATAATGCTTCCATCAATTGTTTAAAAAAGAAAAAAAGTCTTACAACATCAAGTTCGGCAATGAATTTTTGGATATGATACCAAGGCATAGAAAAATGCCAGAAGAAGTTACCAAATTACAAAACAAAACAAACAAAAAACAAAAAACTCAGACAAATTGGAGCTCATGAAAATTAAAAACATTTGCGCAACAACAACAATAACAAAATAAACCCCTATGTTTATTGCTGCTCTATTTACAATAGAGAAGATGTGGGATCAACCTTAATGCCCAAAAATAGATGACTAGATTAAAAAGATGTGGTGCATATACACAATGGAATATTACTCAGCAATCAAAAAAGATAAACTCATGCCTTTTGCAGCAACATGGATGGAGATGGAAGAGATCATGCTCAGTGAAATAAGCCAGAAAGAAAAAGGAAAATGCCAGATGGTTTCACTCACAGCAGGAGTATAAGGGATCAGGAAAAAGAAAAAAGCACATGTCATAAAGAGGCAACCTACAGAATGGAGAAAATGTACACATCACAGATCTGATAAGGAATTAATATCCAGGATAGATACAGAACTCCTAGAACTCAGCAACAAAAATAATAATCCAGTTCAAAAATGGGCAAAGGACTTAAATAGACAGTTCTCCAATGAAGATCAATAGATGGTCAATAGCACTCAAAAAGACCCCCAACATCACTAACCATAAAATAAATGCATAACAAAACTTTGATGAGATATCATCTCACATCTATTAGGGTTGTCATTAAAAAAAAATAGGAAAATAAATGTTAATGTCCTCGTGCACTGTCGATGGGGTGGAAGAGCGGAGGTGTTGCTGTGGAGAACAGTGTGACGATTCCTCAAAAAGTTAAGTAGATTTTACATATAATCTAGCAGTTCTTCATGTGGGCATATAACCAAGAGAATCAAGCTGGGTTACCTGGCAGAATCAAGTCAGGTCTTGAAGAGAGCGTGGACATCCATGTTCATAGTAGCAATGTTTGCAATAGCTAAAAGTTAGCAGCAAACTAAGCATCCATGAATGGATAAGCAGAACATGATACACACACAAAGGAATGCTATTCAATTTGTAAAAAGAAGGAAATTCTGACACTTCCTGCAACAAGGATGGAACTTCAGGACATAAAGTGAAATAAGATTGTTACAAAAAGATAAAAGTACCACTTACATGAAGTACCTGAAGTAGTCAAATTCATAGAAAGTAGAATGGTGATTGCTAGGGAGAGAGGAAGTGGCAGTTAATCATTTAATGTAATTAGAGTTTTGTTTTTTCAAAATGAAGTGTTCTGGAGATGGATGGTTTCAAAACAGCTTGAATGAACTTGATACTACTGAACTGTATGCCAAAAAATGGCTTGATGACAAATTTCATGTTTGTTTAATAAATTAAAACAGTCATTCATTTACTCCTTCATCTGCAATGTTCTAGGGACTCTGCCAAGGGTAAGGGGTACAATTCATGCCTGTAAGGAACTTAAGGTTAGTGGGGTCAGTTGGAAGCCAAGTAAACACAGTGTGATGAGGCTATGGGTGCCTGTCAGAGGCACCTAGTTACCCATGCATGCCAGACCCAGCCTGTGCTCAATAAATAACAAAAGTGTGCAAAGCTATATAAATGCTACAAGATCTGGGCTTTGACTAATTAGCAGGGAGATCTTTCTAGAAGAACTCAATCTACTACTTCTCAAGTGGTATGATTCAGAGAGCAGAATTTGCCAGGCATTTTGAGGATATGCTATGTTATTTAAACATGTAAGTGTCTTCCTGCTCTTTTCTTACTACTCCCTCTAAATTTAATCTTAACATGGACTATTAATTTCATTCTTCTTCTCACTCAAGTCCCACTTCCAGGATTCTTGCCTGAGTTTTGACAACAGCCTTGTAGTCCTAGGGCCAGAGTGCATTCCACTAGTTCATTCACCTTAGAACACATCAGTGACTCCATCTGCCTCAGAATACTCCAGGTTTGTTTCTGTGGTATCCTATTCAGCTCAGGTTGCCATTACAAAGTTCCACAAAGTCGGTGGCTTAAACAACAGGAATTTATTTCCAGGTGTTTCAAAGTAGGCCAAGACTATGGCGCCAGCTGATTTGGGTCCCTGGTGGTGAAGCAGGAAGTCTCCCAGGTCTGCTTAGATTTTGCTACTTTCCCAATCCTGTTGCTTGGGGGAGTCTGCTTTGATTTTGCTGCTTGCTAGAGTGGAGCTTCTGGGTGTACTGCACTCCCTGTTCACTACCCTGATTCCCTTTCTGAACAATAAAGAATGCTTATGCTATGACAAATGAAATGACAAGTTTCCTTATACAAGCTGTATTAAACCTTACCATTCCTGTAATTCGGGGCTCAGCCTTTTGGGGCTGATCCCACTGAGCCCGCGGATGTGACAAGTAAAATCTCTCTCTCCACCTCTCTGAGAGCTGCCTGATTTCTCTGGGAAATTGCCATAACAGCGGGGACCTCTTCCTGACATATAAATAGCCTTCTCTCTGTGTCCTTGTGTGTGTGTGTGTGTGTGTGTGAGAGAGAGAGAGAGAGAGAGAGAGGGAGAGAGAGAGAGAGAGAGAATGAGCAACTCTGGTTTCTTTTCCTCTTCTTATTAGGACACTAA